CAAAGAAACTTCTGGGAAATGACTAGACATTTATTACCTTTCTTTCCAGAAATGGCAGTTGGAAGGCACTTATTTGATTAGGATACCCCTTTTCTTTTACCACAGATTACGGTTGGGAAGAACAGGGTCCACTGATACTTTTTTGCATCACACCTCCAAAATGTTACCCAGCACAAAGACTACTTACCTCAATACTAGGAAGACAATATTTGGCAGGACTGCTGTAAAATAAGAATACAATCTATAAGCTGAGCTAATAAAAGGTTTTGTTTATAAATTACATTAATTTGTCTTGATAAAGTACATTGAATCTATTTTTTCTATTCCAACTGGAGAATACAAAACTTTCTAAAAGAATTTTTCTGAAGCAAATTCATAGTACATTAGTTGAAAGATTTAATCATACAATGTATTATTGATTTTAGTCTCCTGCATTTGCTATAAATTACCTATAATTTTAAGATTTCTTCAGTATGCCCTTTATTATTATGCAAACATTTATAGTTCAACTTTCTTTTAAAATATTTTATTTATATTTTGATTTGACTAAATGAGTTTTTTGGCACAAAATATAGTTGATGACACTTAATGTCAATTGCACTGGAGCAATATCTACTAGGTAATCAAGTGTGGTACAGACACATGTTGAAGCACAAAACATTTTTCCAGGTCTTGATAATAATCACAGTTTCGGATCTAAGACATCCAGGCATGGGACAGTAAAACCTTACCAGTTTTCAAAAAAAAAAAAAAAAAGTAGGTATAGCAGAGCATATTTACACATTTCACTCTTAAGATTAAAAATTAATTGTAATACAATGCCAAAGACCTACATTCAGTTTAAAACATACAAAGACACAAGTTACATTATAAAAACTCTGACATGGTCTATTTTTACCTCAATTACTACAAAAAAATAGATATTGATCATCAAGAATCTGAGTTACAACATCAAACATTTGCCTGTACAAATAAATTTTAATAGAGTTATACACTCTCCAGATTATCTTTTTCCATAATATATATTTCCTTCAGTTTTTAGTGAAAATTATTTTAATACTATTTTAAAGTAATATTAATGAAGTACCATGTAATATCCTTACTCCATTTTCTATTCCTATTTACTATTAAAATCATCTTCATCAAAAAAATGAATGGTTATTTCTTCATTGTCTTTGTTCCTTTTCCTATGTGAAAACAACACATTTGGAGAAACTTCCAATAAAGCTGAAATTGGCAAGATTTTATTCCCAATAATGCCAAAAACCTATCTTCTTTGCTGAAGGCTAAAGAAAAATTGTTATAATTACAGTAGAATAAGAATTCAAGCAATTCTATTATTTGTAAAAAATGAGTTTTGTCAATTAATTATTGAATATTAAATAGTACACGACTGCTTCTAACATGTTCTAGAATTTATAAGCTGAAATATTGGGTAATATTTTTAGTCACAGAATAAATGTAATTTTCTCTTTATGGTTGGTTTTTAATCATTAATACTAACAGAATTTAACACAACTTTAATACAAATCCTCACAACACCCCTATGAGGTAGGTATTACTTGTACTTATTTTACAGGTAGGAAATCAGAAAGCCAGAGCAAGAAGGAACAATCTCAAAAATTACAGATCAAGAATTTTGGTTTTCTTATAAGGCAGACTACTTATTAGACATTAAGTTTTGATAATACACTCATAAGGGCAAATACTGAAATTGTCTATTTTTTTTCCAAGAAAAAAAACTATATGTAGAATTTGAAAAGAAGAGAAAATTTAAAGCTGACCCATGGGGAAAATGCCTAGTTAGTTTTCCAGTTTTAAGAATGATAATCATTAAGCAAACCTACATTATTAGAATACTTTCTAAAAACATAGTTCTATTTTGCAGATGATATAGTCATAACAAAAGGCTTTACATACAAGAACTTTAAAAATTTTAGTGAGGAATCATGTCTTAAAGAAAACAAAAAACCAGCCAGGCACGGTGGTGCATGCTTGTAATCACAGCTGCTCAGGAGGCTGAGGCAGGAGGATCCCAAGTTTAAAGTCAGCCTCAGCAATGGTGAGATGCTAAGCAATTCAGTGAGACCCTGTCTCTAAGAAAATACCAAATTGGGCTGGGGATGTGGCTCAGTGGTCAAGTACCCCTGAGTTCAATCCCCTGTACCAAAAAAAAAAAAAAAAAAAAAACAACTCTCAGGGCCCAGTGTTAGGCTTATGACAGTTATTTTAAAAATGCCTGATGAATGAAAAAAGAAAAAAAAGTTACTGACTCTCTGGAATTCAGCTTTTGGGATTTTTTTTCCCAATAAAATGAAGTCAACAACACTTTCCATACTGTAAGACAGAATATTAAAGGACCAAGGGAAAAAACAAAAAAAGAGGGGAAAAAAAAAAAGGACCAAGGAAAGAGCATCTGCTTGCTTGCCATTTTTTTTTTTTTTTTGAGATGGGATCTTGCTATATCACACAGACAGGCTTTAAACTTGTAATGCCCCTGCTGCAGCCTTCTGAGTAATTGGGGTTAGTGGGGTTACGGTGTGTACCACAACACCCCAATGCTTTGAATTCTTAATATTAAAAAGAAAGTATAAGAACAGAAATCCAGGTGACCACTATCTTAACACTCACATAGATTTATTTGTACTTTAATTTTAAAGTATTGTCTAGCATAGCTAATCAGCTATAAGAAAACTTAATGAGAATAAAAATTTACTTTAAGAAGATCACAGAATATATCACAAATAGCCCAAAATACATAGAAGATCACAGAATATATCACAAATAGCCCAAAATACATAGAAGATCACAGAATATATCACAAAAAGCCCAAAATACATAAAATCAGTGTTAATATTTGTGTTGTTCTTGTGAGTTGAAATCTTGAAGGGCAGTATAAGTTTGAGTAATTGTTTATGTGAATTAGTAGAAAAAATTTTAAGATTAGATGAAGTTCTGAATCCAAAGAGCAACACATTTGTTTTTAACAATTCCCAATACAATTGATCATATTAACAAAGAAATTTGCTCTCAGCACAGATCATTCTTGACACCAAGAGGTTTTTCTCACCTTCAGCAGAAATTCAACTGCCTTATACAATGCCTAGAAGTATTCTTCATTCAGACCTCAAGAAAAAGTTAACACTTTGTAATTTTACCTAAACTGTTTACCTAGAGAAAATCTTTGTGTTCTAATTAGGTGGATTATTCTGAGCTCACTCCTGATTGAATATCAAGATTGTTGAGTACGTCACCAAATATCCTAAGAAGTGTGCAGTTAGGAAGGAGCTTGAACCGATGTGATACTGCAATCTGTATATGGAGTAAAAATGGGAGTTCATAACCCACTTGAATCTAATGTATGAAATATGATATGTCAAGAGCTTTGTAATGTTTTGAACAACCAATAAAAAAAAAGACAAGTCATTAAAAAAAAGATTTTTTGAATGTGGTTAAATTCCAAGTCTTACAAATCAATTTTATGAGATATATTCAAATGTCTGTAAGGCTGAAGCACGGTCGCATATGTCTGTAGTCCTAGCTAGCTACTCAGGATGTTAAAATGGAAGGACCACTTGAGCCCAGGAAGTCAAAGCTAGCCTGGGAAACCAGAGCAAAATCCCATCTCAAAAGGAAAAAATAAAATAAAATAAAAATAAGAGTAGGAACTCTTAAATGTTCTTCAAATGTCTGTGAGGCTTAGAATTTAATAGGGCAATACACAAAAATGATGACTGTTTGGAGTCTCTTCTGTTTTTGTTTTTTAATAAATCCAGTGCTATGTTTTTTTGGGTTTTGTTGTTGTTGTTTTTGGTAGTGGTAGATGGACAGCATGCCTTTATTTTATTTGTTTATTTTTATGTGGTGCTAAGGCTCGAATCCAGTGCCTCACACATACAAGGCAAGCACTCTGCCACTGAGCCACAACCCCAGTTCTCCTTTATTATTCTTCACTATTAGTACTTGAAATTTAAATTCTTCAGAAACAATTTAAATCTATCTTTTATGGTGAAATTTGACCAGATGTTTCTCAGGTATAGAGAGCAGCAGTATCTATCACTTATTCTACAAACTTTAATTTTTCTGGGATTTTAGCTTTATATCACCATTATATAAAAGGAAACTAAGTTATTCACACAGGGAAAGCTACCATCACAGATTTTCAATGTGGTTCTAGATTACTGAATTTATCTACTTTGCTTGTTTTAGGAACAGAAAAAGTGACCATTATGCCTCTAAAAAATGTCAAGTGATTTTTAGAAAACTAACATTAACCCATGTAGTCTAGAAAATCCTGACAGAAGACAGTAGAAAGATGATTTGTATTTTATCACTTTTGTCTTTAAACTCATGTAAATGTATGTTCAGAAATATCTCAAATTGTTCTTAATGCTTGGGATGAAGGTTACAACCCCAGGGTATTAGTTAAGCATATAAAAACAGAGATTAAGGTAGATCTGCTTATGTATTTCTCTTTAAGATTATTTTTTAATCTGACTCCTTTTATTTTTTATTTTTATTTTTAGTTCTAGTTGAACACAATACCTCTATTTTATTTACTTCTATGTGGTGCTGAGGATCGAACCCAGGATCTCGCATGTGCTAGGAGAGCGGTACCGCTGAGCCACAACCCCAGCCCTCTCGACTACTCTTTTAAATGAAATATATTTTTTAAAAGAGCTATACTCAATGTTTAGTAAATAAAAGATGTTGCAAACCTAGTAAAATTTTGCTGCGTATGGTGACACACACCTGTAGTAATCCCAGCTACGTATGAAACTGAAGCAGGATCACAAGTTCAAGGCCAGCCTTGGAATCAGAGGGAGACCTTGTCTTAAAAAAAAAAAAAGGATAGGGATGTAGTTCAGTGACAGAATGCCCTGGGTTCCATCCCCAGTACCCCCCCCCCCCCACACACACACACAAAGTCAGGCATGGCACACTCCTTAATCCCAGTGGCTTTCGAAGCTAAATCAGGAGGATTGCAAATTCGAGGCCAGCTTTTGCAATTTTGCAAGACCTTGTCTCAAAAAAAAGGGTTGGGAATGTGGCTCAGTGGTTAAGTGCCCCTGGGTTCAATCCCTGGTACCAAAAAAAACCAAAAATACCCAACAACAACAAAATTACTCATGATTCAGTATAGCCACGTCTTAATCCTATATACTATATATTTCAGTCATAAAGAAAAATTACATTATGTAATTTGAAGGAAAATGGATGGAGCTAGATGTCATTATGTTAAGTAAAGTCAAACTCAGAAGGTCAAGGGACCTATGTTTTCTCTCATACGCATAAGCTAGAGAAGAAAAAGGAAAAGAAAGGTTGGGGCAGATCTCATGGAAGTCAAAGGGAGATCAATAGAGGAAAAGAACTAAGGGGTGGGAGATGGTAAGGAAGTGAGGAAGTGCTGGGGAGTGATACTGGCCAAATTATATTGTTATATTTGTGTATGTATGAATATGTAACAACAAATTCCATCATTACGTACAACTCTAATGCACCAATAAAAAAAAGTGGGGAAAATTCTAAAAAGACAAATATATGTATTATTGATAATTATGTATTAAATTAGCTACTAATTTCCTACATGGCAGAAAATATTTTAAAATAATCCTCATAGGGACTAAATTCATATGAAACATAAGCCATGAATGATAGTTTAGAATATTATTTTTAGCAGTGCTGGGGATTGAACCTAGGGCCTTGCACATATTAGGCAAGCACTCTACCAATGAGCTATATCCCCAGCCCCTAGAATATTCTTTAAAACAGATTTCATATTCTATTTTATTTTACTGATTCTGAAACCTGGAAAAACTTAGATTCTAAGTTTCTATAAATTTCCACACTGATTTCTGATTTCTAAACTGAGATTTAATTTATGAGAAGTTCATAGGATTAACTGAAGGTTACATTTTAATAGGCATGTCTTGTAAGACCTAATATATACAACCTTAAAAACTGGATTACAAAAAAAGTCAAGCACTTGAGAAGGAAAATAATTCATAAACAAAAAATAACACATGAATTTTTTTTCAGGATTGGTATAAAAATTCTGTAGGAGGAGTTGCTATTCAACAAGGATAGTGTCAACATTTTCTTGTGTGAGCTCTGACTCTAAGGCACAAGGCAAGTCCAAGTGTTCTTGTGATAAGCAAGAACTTTTCACAGGTACATCAGACCAGTTGTCACAGTATGGCTGAAATCTCTGGGCCAATGCATTACCAAACCTTTGGCATCGGTTATATCTGTAAGATTTACCTTTGTGTGTATACATGTGTTCCAGCAATTGACTCTTTCTAAGAAATTTATGACCACAGATGGTACAACTGATTTTTCTTTTCCTTGAAAAAGAAAAATTACAGTTTAATTCTACTGGCTCTGTATCTTTGGAGATCAAAGATACTTGACTAATCTGCAAAGGCTCTGAGGTATCACGATTTGAGTGTTCAGGCGGCTGCTCATTCTCCTTGACAATAAAGGAACTGAGCCTGTGGCATTCAAGAACCTCGCTATTTTCATTAAGTGGATGTACTTCTCCAAGATCATTACTTTCCAGAATGGAAGCAGGGACACCAAATGGAAGGGATCCAGACACATGGGTATGGAGATGTTGTCTTAAGTTACTACGGGAATCAAAACGTTCCCCACAGTAATGGCATAAATGTATTTTGACACTGTTTTCTGTAAAAGAGAGACCTGTTACCTCTGATGAGGGTGAGGGGTGGCTCTGGGGGATCACAGATTCTGGATCACATCTCTCCTGCTTGATGGACACCGGGGGTTTCTGGTGCTCCTCCAAGGCCTGGGCAGCAGGATGAACTCTCTGCTGGTCTGTAGTGCCATCATCAAGCCCAATAGCAAGAGACAGCTGCAACTGAGGGTGGTCACTCTGGACAGCAGCTCTGTTTCCATTGTTATTGGAAGGAGTTTCCTTGACCTCCAGCCCTTGTTTCACAGTTGTTTTTTGGGTTGTTGAAATCTGAATGCCGTATAAGTTTGAGGACTGCACAGTCTCTGGTGAGAACACTTGATTCATTTCAGTTGCAATGTGAGAAAGGTAGTCGGCATGAAGAAATCGAATCCCTTCCTCCAAACGACTATGATCCACAATCTGTTTTGGCCCTTTCCCCGTGTACATAATATGTAACAAATAGCTGAATATGTCAGGTTGAATGTCGGTTGGTTGGATTTTTATGCATTCACTGTTGAGAGAGAGAGAGAGAGAGAGAACCATGCAAAATGAAAACACAACCTAGTTGGCCTTTCAGTTAACAGCAATCTTAGTCTAAAGCAGTTTCTTCTTACGAAGTATAAATTAATTTAGCAATCTGTCTTGATAAAACACTACAACAAAAGCCTACACTTCCTTTTACACCAATTTTATGGTCTAACAATAAGCCTTCATATATTTCATCTACTGGCTAAAGTTAGGAAATGCAGACAGATACTCTGATTAGTTGGACATTAATCAATGACTCTTAAGTGATAAATACTATACTAGATGCCAGGAGGTAGAAAAATGAAGAGTAAGATAGATGTTCTGTTCTTTTTTTTTT